AGGTCAAAGACCAAAGCTGTGGGCTTTGAGAAACCTCACCTAGTGGAAACTGTCCCTTCCCATGGCAAAAGGGTGGAACTAAAGGGTCTTCAAAGTCCCTTCCAACCTAAACCATTCTGTGAATCTGTGATTCTAAAGAACTACTTCATCTCTTCTATTTTGACTCTGAAGAAAAAAAAAATCAAAAGTACCCAACAGAGTGATGAGATGTTATATAAAAATCTTTCACCATTTTCTTCAGAAAAACCAGGAGCACAACCATGAATGGTACCAGGCACAATAATGGCCTTACAGACTTAAAATCTCCACTTGGTTTGCCAAATCCTTTGGCTTCTAAGTTACTGTTTTCTAAAAGTAGTGGCAAAAAATCAGCATGACCTGGCTAAAGTGGAAATGAAAACAAAAAATAATCTGAAATGGATTGACAAAAACAGTTATGAAAAAACGTTCTATGGTATGCAGACACTTAAAACATGTATGTCAGCATCCAGCTCCACATGTGGCATTGGTCCAACACAGCTCAGATGGACATCATTATTAATGTGGCCAGAGCATGCTTGGAAGCAATAGTCCACAATTTGCAACATGCCTTGTGTGCTTTTAATAATTAATAAGTTAGCAATTCACATGTATTTTCTGCCAAAGTACAGCACAATTGTAAAGTCTCACTGGTGTCTGGGTACAAAGCTGTAGATTACTCATCTCAAAAAAAACCCAAAACCAAACCCTAGCAAACCACAAACAGAAAAAACCCCACCAGAAATATGCAATACACAATTTCATAACCCCCAGACGGCAGAATATACAAACATTAATTCAAAGATTCTGGCTTATATACTAATACTTCATATTTGCTTCTTGCAGTCAGTCACTTATCATCTTGCCCAGACCACACACATAGGGAGAACTGAATATACTGTCCTAAGGTATTCCTGGGAGCACTCACACCTGCCCCTGCAGTACTACCAAATGTGAAACATGAGACAGGGAGGAAGTTTCTAAGAGGATAACATCAGCTGCATTACCTCCCCCACATCATCTCAGTGACTCCAAAACACAGGAGAGGCAAAGCACACCACCAGCACTTCCATCAGAGCTATTTCCCCCTTTTATGCCAAAGAGAGAGCAAAAAATAAATAAAAGGTGGCCTGTGATTTTGCACAGAAACAGAGCCTTAAAAGTCATCTAGGGCTCAGAAAATCCATTCCTTTATATCAGGGAATGCACCTTCCTCTGCCTTAATATGGTCTATGGAGGATGCACTAAGTCTCCCAGGGTCTTGTATCTTTTGTTCAATTCTTGTTGGGTTACTCAGTCAGGTGAGTGGTCCCTATGCAGAAAACTAAAGACAATTGTTGAGACTAAACATGATTAACCATTCACTGTTGCTGCTATGAACTCTTCACTGTTAGAGCCAAGTGTGCAAAAGAGACTTTATCTCTCATTTCCTAACTGCTCCCATAATAAACTGTGGAGGAAAGGACATCCACCATGCTGCTCAGAGCAATGCTACCAGCTGTGAATTACAAAGCAGCCTGAGAGACTGGAGGTGACACTGGGCTCTTCCTTGTTTCCAGCAAAGCAAAACTTTCATTTTTTAAAGCCAAGAAAACAGCCTGTACATTTCTGTAATCCCATGCAAAGTAAAGACATGAATGTTATTATTTCAGAAAATAATTAAAGCATTCTGTTTTGATCCCAGCTAACAGTGATGGTGCAGCAGCATACCACTGCACATATAAAACTACCCCAGCAGAGACTCATACCATTATCTACCTTCCTTCCCCTGGCACAACATCATTACATTCCAGGTTCTGGAAAACAAAGTGGAAGGGGAATGAGACAATATCATTGTAGGATACCAAAGCATTGTAGCCCAGGGCATATTTTCATGCCTTTAATTTGCAGTTTGTGCATCCATTTGGCATATGGAAGTCATCTCTCCTTCTCATAGCTATGATTGATTTCTGAACATAAAAATCAGTCATGAACAACAGATTTCTGTGCAAATATGGTTGTGACTAACTCAGTCTAACCCTGAGAATCTTGGTTCCCGTATGAATACAAATAACAATTTCTCAAATTGATGCCTTCATTACATCCTTTGTTGTGAAAATAAAAATGTAATTCAGATATATTGTAAAACTTGAAATAAACATGCCAGGACAAAAGCAACTGGAGCTGTTTTGGAAGCAGCTATAGGCTAAATCAGTCTTTTGTGTGCATGACTCTGACATAGATAGATAGCACAGATTTCTTTTCAAATGTCTCGTGCAGGAGAAAAACTCTTCAATGTCACTGATTTTATGGCTCTTTTCTATTTTGATCAATGACTGCTAAATTATATGTATGTTCATGGGATGGAACAATAAGGTATGTTAGTCTGCCAGCAAGTTGTGGACATCACTTACATCATAATCTGTCTAATCAAGGTTCACATATAATCTTTCAACATCTGCCTGGGCTTCAGCTATCCTGTGCAAACAATGACATATTAATACCAAGCTACAGAACATTTTTTTCCTGCTTAGTAATATTCCAGAGGATGTGCTACCAGAGCTTCCTCTCCAGTTTACAGTGTCAGCTATTTTATGCACAACTACAATTCCATAAACGGATTCAATTGCAAGAAACATTCCATTACAAGAAGCATTACAAGAAACTGTGACCTGAAATATATTTTAAAAATTTAACACTTAGTAACACAAAGGGTCAATTGTTGCTTGTTTGCCCTATCCTTGTCATTCCTGAACCGGATTAAGAAACAGCCTCCTCCTCAGTTTCCTTGATACTTCAGCTGGCAAGTTAAACCCAGAATTGCCAATATGGCAAATAGAGACTTGCTAAGAACTTTCAACTCTGCAGAGGGAAAAAGAGGGTTGAATGACTACATTTTTTGCAGATATTGACAAAATTCAAAGTGCACTGGACTCTATATAGAGTACTGAGAGGTCTGGACAGAAGTGCATATTATACATCCCACCAACATAGTCCTGGATACATATTAATTAATGAACCAGTGTCTCCACCAGAGGTGCTCACACAATAGTTGTGGAACTAGAAAAAATAATGCAGTTATTTTGTGACATATACAATTTATGGTATTAGGTTGCCATTCACTGAAATTCTGTTATCCAGCAGGGACTGAATCCTCATGGTTGCCTGTATCCAAAATTCACTAAGATGTAACTCCAGAAAAACTCCAGGTCCCAAATAATAGTAAGTGGCATTGTTCATACATACAAAGTCTTTGACATGCATACACAGCATGACTTACAGTTCAGATGGCCTATCAGGTCTTAAAATTTTAAATCTTACAAAACTTTTTCATCTAATTCCCTTTTTTTAGCATTGACTTTTCTCCGCTTGATCAAGACAAAGGTGGAAAAGAAATAGTTCATTTTGTCACCCAGCAGGCTGATTTCACAGGAAACTATGATTTACAAATGTGGAACCACATTCAGCTTGGAGTGTGAGATCTAAAATGGATTTCCAACACCTTTTATAGAAGTTTGACTGTCTAAAGCTCTTAACTACTCTGTATTTCATAACAGTATGTTTCAGCAAGTATGAAGAATGCAATGTGAGGTGTCTCAAGAACTACTTTTATTATATTTATAGGCACCCAGTGCCCCTGCAAAGTTGGTGATGGTTTACCATTTGCAAAGTTCAATCAGAACAGCAAGCTAAGGGAAGCCAAGCAGAAAAAGTATCACACGGATTTAGATACAGTCAGTCCTAAAATAATCCCAATATTCACACTCAGGAGGTAGTGAAACGATTTCTTTACTCAACAGAGAGTGTGGAAAATGTAAGAGAATGATCAGAAACATACTGGTTGCTTCAGAAAGGACCTGCTGTGGGCAGGCTTTATAACTTGGGCCTCCAAGAAGTGGATTTACTGCAGTAAAACAGTGCATGCCAATGTATGAGAGGAATGACAATACAGGTAAGACAGTATTCACAAAAATCACATGTATATGATTTGAAATCTATGTCCCTGAGTGTTGTGCATGGTCAGCCAAGGAAAAGCATGCCAGTTCATGAAGAAGCTGTTTCTGTATCAAGACATATCATTTATGTTAAAAATGCCAAGATGCAATGGACAGAACAAAATTAGAAATGAACTTCACAATGCTACCTTCACATTTCGAATACTCTCATACATTTATAGCCAATTTCTGTTAGATAATACAAATGAAAGAAAGCTTTACTGAAAAAATGTAACCTTATATAGAAAAAGCTAATTTTTTACCCTGTGCACACAAAATAGGGATAGTACTTTGTTCACTGAGTAAATATGCCTCATTATTGATTCATATTTTCTTTATCTATGTTGTAGGAAAAAATACAGAAGCACTTAGAGTCAGCCTGGGCCTGATACCAAAGGCTGTTTTTAGCATTTCATAACCCTAAATTACCTTGCAATAAAAGAAGAGTAGAAGACAAAGTGAACCAAGCACATCCACTGGCAGTAGAGCAAAAAGGGAAGATACAGATGCAAGACTGACCATGTTGTCCAACAGTTCAAGGCAAGTAGAACTCCTGCCCTCTGAACTCGGGAGAACTGAGCCTGGAGAGTTCAGAATGAGGGCACAGCCACTCTTAATATGGAGAAAATCTAACTCCACCCTAAGTTTGCAGAAGAGTAGCTATACTCCAAGAGAAGTTGTACTGGTATGGAACAAAAAAACCAAGTAAAGCAGTACTATTTTTGCTCTCTTATTTTCGTCTTCAGTCTCCTCCCTTTGCCTTTTTAATCAGCACCCAAAACAGACCATAAAACAATCCAGCCTACTTTACAGTTTCAGGCAAACAATATGTCCTACACATAATCTGTAAAATGCATTAACTTTTCTTTACCAGATTTTGGTGTTTATTCTGTTCAACATTTCATTTAGATATTCTGCAGCTCCAACAAAGATTAGCTTCAGCAGAATCATTAGTACTCCTAAATACCAGCATCCTGTTATTTCCTTCCAGAAGTACACAGCTCTTACCTGTACATGAATAATCATCAATGCGTATATATCCTGTTTTGCAGACACACATGAAGGATCCTGGTGTATTTACACACATGGTGTTCTCACGACAGTAGTGCCGCCCTTCAGCACACTCATCAATATCTGTGAACAAGACAAAGAGGAACACAAGTCAAATTCAGCAGTATTTCTTGCAATCTCTCAGTATACTGCTGTTCACTTCCATCAGTGGTGGGCTAGACTAAAGAGTTATTTAAATACCAGTGCATTTTGGAAAGCTTTTTGGCTTTGTTCTTTTAAAAAAACTGCTTGAAATATTCAAACAAGAGAAGCACCACGAGTTTCTGTGAACAGCTGTTAGTGGAGTTACAAAGAAGATTACACTGGCTTACATCTTTCCTTTTGAAGTGCCTCTGATGTTATTCCTATGATTTAAATAGAACAGAACAAAAAACAAACCAGGGTCCCAAACAACTGACCAATGGCCTCAGCACTGCAATGGCATCCATCACCGCACCCTGTGCAGTCACCTCAGTCATCAGTGCACATAACACACAACTATATGCACACCACATGCCTTTGAGATAACAGAAACTATTGTCTAGAAAGAAACTGTAAGGAACATGGTAAGATCTGAAAATACTCTGAAATTTAGTATCAATTTCTCTTAGAACAATAAAGTAGTCGATCAGTATTTTTAACATATATAAACACATGTATCTGTATCTGCAAATATCTACATACATATGTATACAGACACATATAAACACTGTACCTGAAAGGAACCTGTAAGAATCTCATTCATATAAAGATCTGCTCTGACAGAACAAAATGCAACTTGATAAAATACTTGTTGGGGCAGAACACCTGTTGCAGTATAAGGTCCTAGAGCAAACTCCCCACATAAATGACTGTAGGCATGGAATTTAAAACCTAATTAGTTTTGGTATTCTCTTGGGCTTCAAAATTAGACATATTTCTTGTGTCAGGTTATAATTCAATGGGAAGACAGAGAATGCACTACAGATAACAAAAGACCTTCTGCATAATATTATTATATTGCAAAACAGAAAAGCTATATTAATTTGGAAGTGCTCAGTAGCACACTGTTCCTGTAATAGTAATGATAAAGACATCATTACTGAGATGCTCAGTACACCTATTTATATTGTCATGCAATGTGTCACTGAACCTTGATACCAAAGAAAGCTGAAAATCAAATGGGCGGATTGTTGGCTTGTTTTCTTTCCTGCTCATCAGTTTTGATTTCTTTCTTGTTTTCAATGATGTTTATGGCTTTCAGTGTTGAAAATAAAATCTCTGTATGGAAAAGCATATTGTTGCAGAGGCTAATGATGGCTCAAGACAAAAGATTGTATATATAAACTGAAATCAGAGTTAATTTCTTAATGTTGTGGTGCTAAACATCAACATTTTTAACTCCTGTACTTCGCTCCTGCTTTGGTTGTGTGCTTATCCCTCATTTCTTATCTTCCCTGTGTATTTAAATGAACAGGAATTTACTAACTGCATTCATTTTCCCCCCCCTTTGTACTTTTAGAAGGTAATTTGCCTTCCTGTACGAAACAGTTTGACACGCTGAATATTAGTGATTCTGTACTAAGTTCCTAATTCCATTCAGTTTTGAAAAAAAGAATGTTCCACAGGTCCTCTATGTATTGGATTCTGCTGGAGAAGCTGAGGGTAGTTGGCTACCAAACATGAAGGTGTCCACTGCAAACGAATTTCATGGCTGATATATTTTGGCTGGCTATATTTTCCCTTTACCCTGTGAACTCTGCAGCCATGTAAGCTCATGCAGGTGTATTAAGGTGTTAGCCTGGAAAAGCTAATCTTGCAACTTCTATGTACATGTGTACTTCCACAAATGAGCGTGTATTTACAGTGAACACAGTGAGCACACTAAGGCTCCAAACACCTTTTTGGAACTTCATCTAAGAGTGATGATCAAAAAAAAACCTTAAACTATCATGACTACCACAGCTGGTCTTACACAGTGAATGAAATAGGGCACAGATCTCCTGACTTACAGATGTTCTGCAGAAACACAAGTATGCAGTTCACAAAAGCAGCCAGCAGTTACAACATATGACTCAGCCTCTACAACAAATGATGCAACTTGTGTCTTTCATAATGCCTGTTAACTACATATTAAATTAATTGTGTTGATTCATATTTAAGTAACAACACCAGTCTTCAAGTAATTAGAGATACTATGTTCTCAGAATCAACAGACTGCCTAGAAGCCAGCTCTGGCACCCTCATAAAATTCTACTTAAAAATCAGTGCTTCAGAACCATTAAATAGGACTTTCTGAAAACTATAATGATGATTGCTTTGTCAGGTAAATATCCACAGGAGACCCAAAATGCCAATAGTTTTCATTTTGCAGGGAAAAACTTAAAGCTCCTTTTATTCAAACCTCCTAATTTAGAAGTGCTCTAAATAAAAGCTTTCACTTTGCCAACATACCACATATTGAGATTTTGAAAAATGTTTTATTTATAATCATATTTTTTTTTCCAAACCTTGCTTGTTCAACTGATACAAAAACTGTTCAGGTTAACTTTGAAGTGTTCATTTGGACAAATCTGATGTACTGTTTTTTTCAAGCCGATTTGCAAAGATATTGCTCACATTTTTTAAATGTTCACTAGAAATTAAAACTCCCACCCAACTCTGTTATTGTTACTATCACAAGATTATATTACATTGGCACCTAAAGACCCTCTACACCATGGACACAGAGCAGATAAGAAGATGCTTTTACAAACATTTGCAACTTTAATACTAAATAAAGATAATTAATACAAACAAGGGCAAAAGATCAGTCAAATGACAACTACTCACACAAGGACTGACCATACTAAAACCCTGCAATTCCATTCCCCCTTTGGAGGAGGAATTTCCCACATTTCCCACATGTGAGCTTCATATACATTAGGTTAAGGTATTACAGATTAAGGAGAATTGAACTAGGGCAGGGAATGAGCCCAACATCTGTTGCCTTTCAAAGCTACCAAAATAAAAGCCTTTTCAACCTGTTTACTGGTTGAAACAGGTTGATCAGGGAGAGAATCAGAAGGATAAAAGGTAGAAAACTTGTGGATTGAGATAAGGACACTTTAATAGGGAAAGCAAAAGCTGAGCACACACAAGCAAAGCAAAACCAGGGGTTAATTCCCTGCAATGGCAGGCAGGTGATCAGCCAGCTCCAGGAGAGCAGAGCCCCATCACATGTAATGGTTACTGGGGAAGACAAACCCCATCACTCCAAATGTTCCCCTCTCCCTCCTCCTTCCCCACACTGTATCCACTGAGCATGATGTCACACTGTCTGGAATCTCCCTGTGGTCAGTTTGGGTCACCTGTCCTGGCTGTGTCTCCTGCAACCCCCCCAGGCACCCCCAGTCTCCTCCCCAGAGAGGCAGTTCAAAGAGCAGGAAAGGCCTTGGCTCTGTGTAAGCCCTGCTCAGCAACAACAAAAACATCTTTATTATCACCATGTTCAGCAAAAGTCCAAAACACAGGCCTGTACTAGCCACTGTGAAGAAAATTAACACTACCCCAGCCAAAACAAGCATGCCACCTTTAGCTAGAAATGCACAACAGAAAATCTTGTGCATTTCCATATCTAAGAAATCCTACAACATTTATCCTTATTTCCTCCTGCCAAAAAACCTAGTTAGCATATTAATGCATATTCAGGTCTTACTGTTCAGCCAGTAAGATACTGAAGTCACTTCAATAGGATGAATGCACCACTCCAATGGCTCGACACATTCAACAATAAAGACTTGTGTGCTTGAAGTCTGTGATGTGATACTGAGCCACCAGCTGTGATGTACTGACAACAGTGTAGTCATGGAGATCATCAACCTGCTCTATTCCCAGTGGAACAGATAAAAGGGGGACCTCTGGGAAAACTGGTTAGTGCAACAGTGTTTGGAATCTGCACTTCAATGATTTATTTATACTTACAAAAAACATCAAAAACAGGAAAAAAAAACCCTGAAAAACCTGCCTTTCTTTATTCCCCCAAGCAGTCAAAATTTATGCAAAATACATAACTGAAGAAAATGTTCCCTGTATCCCTTCCTCCTGCACCCAAATGTGTTTGCTTCCCCAGAGTAAAATTCCCAGTTATGTTTCACAATCCCATTAATACGAGGAGAGCTTGACCTGCAATCTATAAATCATTGTTGACCAAAGCCTCGGACTAACAAACAAAGCCTCTCCTTAGGCCTCCCTATGCATCACTGCCCTTATCCACCACAAAAGCCTGCCAGAATAAATGAGTCTGCTACTAAGTCAGTAATTATCAGCTGTTAGAAGAGGCTGCTCCCAGAATTGAGGATCCTTTATGGATAGTGTCTACCACCAGAGATCTCCCTGGTCACACTTAGGGAGGTATATGGTAGCCAGGCAGATCACTGGTGTTAGACACTATCGAATCTTCTGGGAAGTGCTGGGACTCTTGCAGGATTTTTTGCAACAAATAACATTAACTATCCAGGAAGAAAGGGAACAGGAACACGAAAAGCTTTATTTATAAAAACACCTATTTCATAAACACATTAAAAATTACCCTGAATAGAAGAGCAGAGTAGGTTAGACCTACAATATACAATAAAACAAATAAAACTCCCATGGGTTTTATGTTAATAAAATATGTCTCCACAGCCTATAAATATCAAGCACCACATTTACCTGCTCAAGAGGCTAATGTTTTTTCACCTCTCGCACAACTTCATCAGCACACCTCCATCCTGATTCTGAGGGCTGCACTGGTAAGAGCAAGGGCATCACCACCCTCTGTTCCTGTGAATCCTGAGCCTCTCCACTGAGAATCCCAAGGATGGATACCAGTAACAGTGAGCACAACATAGGCCTTTCAGGCCCTTAGCTTCATCAGTAGCAACCTGACTCATACAGAAAGACAAGCAGGATACAGAACAATTGCAACTCTTCTCTGGGCCCTGACCTAAAAAAAGGGCATCGCAAAATCAGCAGATGCTACTCAACAATTAAGGGATTATGAAAATGAACAGTGACCAATCACAGCAATCAATACCATTAAAAAGGTAAATGAGGATTTAAAACCTTTAGAACAAACATAACCT